AGTTTTACCCTTGGATCTCAATGAGACATTTACCCCTACAATGGGAGAGGAATTAACTGCTCTTTCTGGAAATGAGAGTTTTCGTATTCACGACACTTTGGTACTCCAAGACTTCTTTACTGTTATCAGTTGTTCATCGTTTATGTTTTATTATTTATTACATGCAATTCTTGTAGTCCACAAAATTGTTTAACATTATATCTGATTTTGCCAACAATGCCATGAATATCAGGCCCCCTTATAAGAGCCAATCATTAGTCCTGGAACTGAAAACATGACACTATTTGCTAAATATATGTAACTATACATTAAAGCACCACTAGAATTTATCTTTTTAATGTTATTGATGATGTACGTATAAGTCACATTATATTGTCTGATAACTTAAATTTCCGTGTCAGCTTCTTGTGAAATTTTTTTAAGGAGTTGCAGTATACTGATTGAGTGCTGCATGTCTGATTATGAGTTCACTTCAACGTAAATTGAGGCTATCTCATGCTGTTGAGAATTCTTTCAATCAGTTTGTGCTTAATTTTATGAGATTAGGAACTTGTATTGACAATTTGTCGTTGCCATTTAATCTCTTCATTTTACTTTTATTTCTAATTAACCCCTTCTTTTTATTCATAATTAACTTGCTTTTTGTTATTTTATTTTTATTTTTTTGTCAGGATATTTCTGCCTCCTACATCAAGGAGAAAGGAAGAGAGAGGCAAGGACTGGGAGTTTCTGGGCCAGAAAATGACCAACAGACTTGTGAGAGGAGTGAACTTGGATTGTCGGATGATATTCCGATGGAAATAGTTGAGCTCATGGCCAAGAACCAGCATGAAAGGGCTTTTGGTAATTCAAGAAATCTCGTCCTCCATGAGGGAACCAATAGAACCTCAAGAGGGTCTCCTGCACTACATGGCAATGGACATTCAATTGTGACGAATTTTCTGCTCCCCAACACGAGGGGAAATAGTGTGAATCCAGAATGTGGCAACATAAAAGCTGACCAGGGCAATCATAACCGTTTTGGTTGGTTGAGTAGAAATCAGTCCGACATGGGGAAATTGGAAGAGAGTTCACTCTTCAATTCCTTTTTGCAGAATCAACAAAGCAACACACCATTTTCCACTACTGGTTCAAACATAACCGGACTGAGACTCAGGAAAGGAGCAGAACCACTGTGGTCTTCTAGCAAAGATAACATGCCTTTTCGTCTTGATATTCCCAAGAACTGTTTGACTCAGTCTAATCATGAAAGGTCACATTCATTCGTCGACTCGCAGCATAAAGGAAAGACCATCAGTGACATAAAGGGTCATGAGGCAAAACTGCCAGTGCATGATATGTCATTACTCAAACAAGGGAGAATTGTACAGAGCCCAAAATCCATGGGCTCATTAGATTCTTACTCCAATGGTACTATTCCAGCAACGGAGTTGCTATCTTTGATGAATCAAGGTGTGATATCGAGGAGTTCTTTCAATATTGGCATGGAAAGTTTCCGTTATAAAGACTTTTCTCCCTGCACTCACCATCCAAGTTTGAATGGGGATGAGAAAAGGAATGCCCTGAGTAGATCTTTCTTTCCTCAGCATCACCATTTAAAGGAATTCCCAGTGTTACCGTCCGGCATTTATGGTACTATTGAAAGCTTTAAGAAACCCTCATCTTACCTCAAGTGTTTTCATGCCAAAGTCTTCATTTGAATTCTCTCCACTGCAGATCCATTTCCCATTTTTTCTTGGTTTTACAGGTCCCGTATCTTCGCGAGAGGGCTTAGGTGTTGGTCCATCAAGCTTTAAGATTCTCCCTCGACAATCTCATAGAGACGTCGTTCCATCACTGTCCATTGACTTGGAGGAATCCACCAATCCTGGAACTCCCCAGCCACTGAGAATTAGGACGGAAGAACATGTTTGCACACTCAACCAGAACCCTGCTGACTTCAGCATTCCTGATGCACGAAACCAGTACACCATCTGTGCAAAGGATTTGAAATTGAAAAAGAGGAATGCATCGAAAGAAAGATCTTCCTCCGGTAACAGGGAAGGACGCAAGAGACAGAGGGTCACAAAGAATGGTTTGAGGAAAGAGTCTGCTAGAAAGTAGTGCATCTCCCTTATTTCGAGATGCTTCAGTTAAGATCTGGTTTAAATTATGTCTTTCTGGTTTACCATGGATTACATGTCTTGTTTTTGGTCGCTATACATTTAAGGATTACGTTAATTATCTGAATAAGTCAGTTTTGCAACTTTTGGATGTTTAAACAGGAAATGTCTGTTATAAATTCTTCATACAAATAAGTTGAATGATTGAGAAAATAATGTGCTGATTGTGTGCAGAAACTGTGCTTGAATGGTCAAATAATGTGCTGATTGTGTGCAGAACCTGTGCTTGAATGGTCATCTTGCTTATCTTCAAAATTGTGAGTTTACTTGTCAGAAAAA